GGGGCTATGTACTGAGAAATTCATTATTAGACAGTTTTGTCATTGTGCAAACATCATAGAGTATACTTCCACAAACTTAAATGGTATAGCTTACTACACATCTAGGCTGTGTACAAACCTGCACAGCATGTTACTGTTTGAATACTGTAGGCAATTTGAAAAGTAAGTATATGTGTATCTAAACAAGAAAAAGTACAGTAAAAATACGGTTTATATGGGACCACCATTACATATGCAGTCTGTTGTTGACAAAACTTTGTTATGCGGTGCATGACTGTATTTTCCAATCCTGAAAGTTATTTTGTGTCTTTTTTTGTGCTAGCCACAGGCTACTTAGCCTGTAGTGTTAGAAAAACAGACTTTCCATTTGTATTTCACCTTGAAATATATGCACTCATGTTCATGATTGTTATCTCAATCCATTTAATTCTACCATCAAGGTAGATTGTTCATAAAAATGGTCATTACGATTCTTTTTTTTTTTTTTTTAAACATAGTCTCGCTTTGTTACCCAGGCTGGAGTGCAGTGGTGCAATCTTGGCTCACTGCAAGCTCTGCGTCCCAGGTTCATGCCATTCTCCTGCCTCAGCCTCCCGAGTAGCTGGGATTACAGGCACCCAACACCATGCCTGGCTAATATTTTGTATTTTTAGTAGAGACGGGGTTTCACCATGTTAGCCAGGATGGTCTTGATCTTCTGACCTTGTGATCTGCCCGCCTAGGCCTCCCAAAGTGCTGGGATTACAGGCACGACCGCACGCGGCGTTATTAATTCTTAAACATAGGCATGTTGTTGTAATTCATTATTTATGTCACTGTTAATAGCCAGCACCAATTTTGAACTTCTCCTTGTTCAGTAGACTGTTTTTCAGTGCAGTATCTTTATTCTTTAAATTCAGAGAGTTTTTTGAAGCATCAAGTAAGTATTTATTAACTCCTTATATACCCTATCCTAGATAAAAAAGAAATAAAAAGGAAATCCTGCTCAGTGAATAATCCTTCCCCTTGAGAAGCCTGAAATCTTTTGGTGGTTGATGAAAGAAACATCTGTTGAATATAGGCCTAAAGATAATGGGTACTCAAATACATAATTGAGGTTGTGAACACTATAGATCATGAGAGGTGGGAGAGATCATTATATCCTGACCTACCTAAGGGAAATTTTGTGGAGAATGTGAGATTTAAGTTTGTTCTTAAAGGGCAAGTAGGATATGGAAAGATAGGGGAGGAAATCTAGTGAAGTATTTCAGGTAGGGAAAAGACTTTGAACAAACACACGGCCTTTAGATATTAAGAGAGCTGGTTTCACATTGAGGAGGTGGTAGTGGGAGGAAGGAGAGAAGAGGACTGGCTATATAAGGTATTCACATAATTGAAGTGGGATCTTGTGTGAGTTTGTATTACTATTAGTGTTAGGGAGAAAGAGTTAAAATATATCTTAAAACTCTGTTAGAATGCAGCCTCTCAAGGTATGGCAACTATTTCACCAAGTCATCATTATGGAATTTATATTAATTATAAAGATATATATTATAAAATAAAGCCATATATTAAGGATATAGATATCTTTGAAAATAGATAACTATAAAGATACTACTGAATAACTGACAAAACTATAGGGATTTCCTGTACACTATGAATCGAGAAGGAGTCTTATAGCCCACATAGTCAACATGTATCTCATTTAGTGTGTAGTACATACATAAGCAGAGGTGTCCATCTCTAGTTTTCAAACTAAGTGGTAATATCAAGCAGACATCTTTTTGTTAGTTGAAATAAATTATTAGGAGACATCATTTATTAATGGAAATTAAATGCACATAACCATTTTAACTTTAAGGGTAAAAAGCCCCAGAAGATTTAAGAAAAGGGCCATTCAAGAAACAACTGATTTTACAGAGAAGCATCAGATTCTGCTTAGAATGACTAATGGCCATTTTGGGATAAAAAAAGGTAGTAAACATAAGACTGCTGGTTATATGTAGCATGTATGTTGGCTCATGCTTCATTTTCACCCCCAATAGAATTAATTTTAATTCTGGGATAAAGACAACTGTTTGACATATTACTTAGTATTAAAAATAGCTGCAAATTTAATTTTTTTAAATCAAATATTTTTTAATCAAAAATCAAAATATTCCCACCTAAGAACAGTTTCATAAAAGGTGATCCTGAATTAGGATGTGGTGGCTCACACCTGTAATCCCAGCACTTTGGGAGGCCAAGGCAGGCAGATCATTCAAGGTCAGGAGTTTGAGACCAGGCTGGCCAACATGGTGAAACTTCATCTCTACTAAAAGAAAATACAAAAATTAGCTGGGCGTGGTGGTGCAGGCCTGTAATCCCAGCTACTTGGGAGGCTTAGGCAGGAGAATTACATGAACCTGGGAGGAGGCGGGGGTTGCAGTGAGCCGAGATCACACTACCACACTCTAGCCTGGGCAACACAGTGAGACTCCGTCTCAAAAAAAAAAAAAAAAAAAAAGTGACCCTGAATCAAAAACTACCAAATTGGTAGTGAAAAATGTCATATATGTCAATATTACATGGACTCTGAATGCCAATCTTAGGATTATAGACTTTAGCCTTCATAAAGCAGAGAGTCATTATTGATTTTGGAACAAGAAGTGTTAAATATAAGTTCTTTGTAAGTGTGGAGCTATCTTATTTTACTGGCATAGCCACAAATGAACTGCAGCAAATTCAAGTCTTCATATTTTTACTTCAAAAATCATGTGACTTTTGCTGTTCTTTATAATATATCCACATTTGTTTTATTGTAAAATTATTTAATAATAATTGACCAATGAAAAGAATGTGCCTTATGTCTTGTGACTTTGTGTGAACATGCTTAGAATACCTGACCTACTACGGTTCAGCAGTACCTTATCTAAATCAGCTTTTTTAAGGACAGCAACTTGAATATAATTGAAAGGTAATTTTACCTTTTAGCTTCCTGCCCTGGAGTTAATTACAAAGCACAGGCATTCTTGATTAGGTTACCATCTTTACGAAGATTTTTGCCTGTATCTTTATATAAAGTATGTACTGGTTTTGAATGGAAGAATAGTTTCGTATATTATGAGCTAAATATCAGAGTTGAATTTTTAAATTTTACTCTCAGAAGTTCAATAATCTTAAGTGATTGAGCTAATTGAAGTCCTTGTTTATAGATATGGAAGTTCAGAATTGAAGTTTTATGGTTTTGAAGGTTAGATACAAAAGGATTTAACATTTGTTAGAATCAAATCGATACGATGTGTCCGTATTTTTGTAATAAGTAGAATATAAAACAATAAGCTTTTTCAAATCGAGACTTGAGTCTCACTCTGTGGCCCAGGCTGGAGTGTAGTGGCACTATATCTCGGCTCACTGCAACCCCCACCTCCCGCGTTCCAGTGATTGTCCTGCCTCTGCCTTCCCAGTAGTTGGGATTACAGGTGCCCCCCACCACATTCAGCTCATTTTTGTATTTTTAGTAGAGATGGGGTTTCACCATTTGCCCAGGCTGGTCTTGAACTCCTGACCTCAAGTCATCCGCCTGCCTCAGCCTTCCAACGTGCTGGGATTACAGGCATGAGCCACCACACCGGCCCATTTTTTGAGTACCTATTATATGCCAGGTATTGTATTAGATACTAGAAAGATAAAGAGAAGTAGAGAGATAGAAAGACAGAAATAATTAGATAAATAAAACTTGGTTTCTGCATTGATTGATTGAGACGTCGTCTCTGTTGCCCAGACTGGAATGCAGTGGTGCGATCTCGGCTCGCTGCAACCCCAGCCTCCCGGGTTCAAGTGATTCTCTTACCTCAGCCTCCGGAGTAGCTGGGATTACAGGCACGCACCACCATGCCCTGATAATTTTTGTATTTTTTGTAAAGACAGTGTTTTGCCATATTAGCAAGGCTGGTCTCGAACTCCTGACTTCAAGTGATCTGTCTGCCTTGGCCTCCCAAAGTGCTGGGATTACATAGGTGTGAGCCACTGTGCCTGGCTGTTGGTTCCTGCTTTTAGTTGAGGGGTGCTGAATATGTAAAATATAATTGCTGTAAAGCACAGTAAATACTATAATAGGGATATGCGCCTAAAACATATTTGGGTAAAAGTGGATAAACCAACCAATTTAGCTTCAGTACCATAAGGAAAGCTTCTGAAAACTACTCCAGCCTGGGCGACAGAGCAAGACTTTGTTTCAAAAAAATAGAAATTAAAAAAAAAAAGAAGGGACTTATGCTGAAACTTTATAAGTAGGTAGTGTTCCTGGGGTGGGAATGTGGGAAGAAGGGCATTCCAGACAGAGGAAACATTGTGTAACCTTCGGGGAACTGCATAGAGTATGGTTTAACGAAAATGAAAAGGCATGTTGGAAAGGTTAAGAGATGACTCTTGACAGTAGACAGCTGCACTTTGTATACAGCCCAGAGGAGTTTGAACTTTATTATTTAATTATTGGAGTATCATTGAAAAACATGGAACTTGAGCACACCGACTCTCATTTTGAAGTAGTTTGGAGGGTATGTCAGGAGTGGTAATGATTATGGGATAAGAGGAGCAATTAGAATATCATTGCTGTAGTCCAGATGAGGCATGGTGAGAGTCTGAAATGACAATGGGAGTGACAAGGATAGATTTCAAATATGTTAAAGACGTTGAATCAATAACATTTAATGATTAGTTGGGCATGGTGGCACATAATCTCTACTACTCTGGAGGCTGAGGCAGGAGGATCACATGAGCCCAGGAGTTTGAGTCTATCTTGGGCAACGTAGCAAGACCACATTTCTTTAAAACAATTTTTTTAATGATTGATTGTGAGTAATGAGAGAGAGAGAAGGGTCCAGTATGAATCCCTGAATGATGGGGTTAGATGGGCACATTTCTCACTAGATTTTTGGAAGAAGTTTTACATATGTGAATAGCTTCTACAAAATTAATAAATATATAAAAGTAACTTCTGAGTAGGTTATTTCTAAGTTTTTCTTTATTTTTATTTATAGATGCCACTTCAAATGAACAACAAGATCTTTTCTGTCAGAAGTTGCAGCAGTGTTGTATACTGTTTGATTTCATGGACTCTGTTTCAGACTTGAAGAGCAAAGAAATTAAAAGAGCAACACTGAATGAACTGGTTGAGTATGTTTCAACTAATCGTGGTGTAATTGTTGAATCAGCGTATTCTGATATAGTAAAAATGGTAAGCCTCTAGACTTATGTTCCTCAGATGTATGTAAATTTAAGATCTGAGGTATAATAATGGATTAATGAGACTGATTTTAAATAAATGTACAATACATCCCCCAAATTTTAAAAAATAGTTCATTTGAAAGATTATCCCATCCATTCCAATGATACCATCATTGCATATACAAGTTTGGGAATTGAGAGAGTCACAGTGGCTGGTGGCTCCCATATTGGATAGTGCAGATCTAGAGCTTAAGAGAAGGATTTAGGCCTGGGATTATACAGATCGATAGGTAATTAACGTCATGGAGGTGAATAGTTACTGATAACTTTTATTTATTTTTATTTATTTATTTATGTTTTGAGACGGAGTCTCACTCTGTAGCCCAGGCTGGAGTGCAGTGGTGCAGTCTCGGCTCACTGCAACCTCTGCGTCCCGGGTTCA